CCATTGCGATTAGAAAGGGGAAAAGTATCAAGAGTGTTATTTACAGATAGTATGATTAGCTACATGAAAATACAAGAGAATCTGTAAATAAACTATTTCCTAAGGAGATTCAGCATGTTTGCTAAAACAAGATTATTCCCAAATCAACAAATTTCCAAACAGCGGCAACAACCAATTAAAAAGTTTAAAAGGAATCCAACTTATAACAGTAACAAAAGCTGTAAGGTACCTAGGAGTAAGTCTAACAAAAAGGTACACAAGTTTCATGAACAAATCATAAAGTGTTACTGAAGGACATGAAGAAATCAGAATAATATTAATGTACCGGGTGATTCCATTTTATAAAGATGTCACGTCTCCCAAAATTTAACCTGTAAGTTTAACTCAACAAAATACCAAAAAAGTTTTTCCAGTGGAAGTTGACACGCTGATGCTAAAGTCAGTGTGGGAGACTAGAAGTCCAAAAATAGCCAGTACAATTTTTTTTAATGAACAAAGGGGGAAAATGGCCTTCTAGACATGAAGACCTGTTATAAAGCCACAGTAATTAAAACAGTGTGGTACTGGCTCAGAGAATTGATTTGGTCAGTGGACGACAAAGTAGGAACATGTCGATGAATTCGTGGGAATTTAATTTACAGTCACGTGGCACTACACATTAATGGGGGGAAGACTGTTCAGTAAATCGGGGCAGAACAATAGGTTTTCCACATGGGGGAGGGAGGAGTAAAATTAAATTCCTACTTTACACCTTTGAAAAAAATAAGTCCCAGAGGGATCATTTTACAAGTGTAGAAAGCAAAACTTTACAACATGATGGAGGGGGAAAAAAAATAAAATAAAATAAAATAAAATAGGAGGCTCTCTTCATGGCATCAGGTATGGAGAGAGTCCTTTAGTAAGACACACAAATGACACAAACCATAAAGAAAGCGATCAATGAATATGATTATATTTTAAATTTTCTATAGTACAAAAGACATCAAAAGCATTTAAAAGAGGAGTCACAGACCGAGACAAGACAATATTTATATGCATGGGCTCCTACAAATCAGGAGGAAAAAAGATGAAAATATTTACAGCCCATTGGAAAAATGGGTGACTGTGAAAAAACAAATCACAGACTCAGAAACCTTAATAGCCAATAAAATGCTCAACTGCACTAGCAGTGAGGGAAATTCAAATAAAACAATGAAATACTGGGCCTTTAAAAAATCAAATTGTCAGAAATAAGAAAAGTCTGAATCTAGAAAGTATTGAAGGTCATGTGAGGGGAAACAACTTGCATACACACTCCTGATGGGTGTGTAAATTCGAAAACCATGGCAGTCTCTTAATAAAACTGAAAATGTGTATGCAGGCTAGCAATTCCCCATCTAGGTTCCCCACAGAAAAATCCTTACCTATGTGCATGGGACATATATACACATATGTTCATACTAGCACTGCCCATGATACCAAAATATTGGCAGCAGCTTAAATATTTATCAATAGGGGAATGAATGAACATGGCACATTCATATGCATGGATTAACAATACAGCAATTAAAATAAATTGGATGTGTATTTATCACCATGGAGAGAGAGAACAGAAACATACCATGAAGGAAAAAAAAGTCACAGAAGAGGTACAGCCTAACAGCACATGTGTACTGTTTTTAAAAAATCAAGCAAAGCAATGTTCTGTGCTTTTATGGGTTAATTTGCTGTACAAGTATAACACCTAGATTGTAAAGTTACATATCAAATTCATGATAGTGTTTGCCTTTGGAGAAAAAGGCGGAGAATGGTTTTGGAGAGGAGTACAAAGAGATTTCAATTTTATCAGAAATGTTAGATAGTTCAATTAAAAAACAGACCTGAAACAGATATTGCAGAATGTTAACATTTACCAATTTTATGAGATAGGTAAATGAGTGCTTGTGATATTTTTCTCTGTCTTTTTAAATATCATGCCTTTTTTCTAAATAATAAAATTAAAAGAAAAACAGCTAGCAAAGAATTCTCCCTCTGAGAGAATTTTAATATGTGTAGATTGAGAGTTAACTGTCTAAAATTTTAAGGCAAGCAACCTTACAATAATTACCTGTTTTAGAATGAAATCTCCACAAAAATAAAAAAGCTGGCAATATTATAAAACTACTGAAATGAATAGATTCTACAGGTATCAATATGGATAGTTCTCAAAATCATACTGAGGGAGAAAAGTAAGTTGCAAAATGATGTATACACTACTGTACCATTTATAAAGAAAATTTAAAATACATAAGCAAAGATATAGATTTACAAATAAATATATACAGGTAATTAGGTAATAAAAGTATAATAACAAATGCTGGAAGAATAGACACGTTAAAATACTGATTTCCTAGGGAAGTAAGGAGGGAGAAAGGTGAATGGGTCTGGGGAGGGAAATGAAGTGACATTCAACTCTGTCACCTTTAATATAAATAAAAAACCTGAAGCAAGTATGACAAATATTTCACATTTGATTATTCTAGGAAGTAAATGCATAAAGGTATGCTATTCTTGATGTATCTGCAGTTTAATTTTCAAAAGAAAAAGCACAGAAGAATTACAAACAAAATGCACATAATTCAATATATCAGTAAAGCCTGTGTACATTAAAAATCCCTGCCATGACCATTTTTAGAAATCATCCTGTTTGCTTTTCTGTGTGTTTTCAATTTTTAAATATCAGAGGAAGGGAGAAAAAAAAAATGAGAGCAGTGAATAAATATAAAAACACACATAACCTGTATCTGATTACATTAAAAAGAAAAACCTCCACAATCACAAAACACCATCTGAGCCACTAATTCCCTATCACTTGCTGCCTTTCCTTAATTTTAATTTTTGTCCAAAGAAAAATAAAAGACGCTGCCTGATCAGAAACGTGACTTTCTATTAGTAAAATTGTGGGAGTCCATTTTAATGTGTTTATCTCGCTACCGGTCTATAATTTATATTTCAGCGTGCAAATCTGTCCGTACGCCTGTGACAGGTTAATGCAGTTTAAACACGCATTTTCCTTTCGTTGGCTGAATAGTTAAATCGTTACTCCCAGGATTTTAAGTTTCAATTTCAACCATGAGAGGCTTCTTTGCGTTTTCAGGGTTAAAAATGTTTCTGATTCGAAACGCGATTAATTAATGGCTACGTAGTGGATCTATTTAGGGAATTGGTACCGACCCGGGCTTAGCGGCGGAACTGTTAAATGAGAAAACTTTTTGGATGCAGCCTGAAGGAGATTTTAAATTTGGTCTGACAGCGGTGGACAGAACTGAAATGCAACCCCAGCCCGCCTGACGAACGATCGTCATCATGAATCGAAAGACAGGTCAGGTATTAGCATTTTTTTCCTTAAAAAAATAAAAAAAACTTTCTCGGACTCCGCCGGACACCCAGCTGGCGGAGGACCAGCGGGCGAGGGGGGGCGAAGCCGGCAGGCTGCCCAGAAGTTACGATCGGAGAGTTTTCTCTTTATTAAAATTACCTGGCTCGCCAGCAGAGGCAAGAACGCGAAGACAAGATAATTTCTTAGGCTGTTAAAAAGGACTTAGGCCGGCGGGCCCCGCGCTCCGAGGGGGTGTCCTGGGGACC